GTAAAGGGCGTTGTTTTTTTAGTGAACAAAATTTCCACGTAAGAGATTTGGGCGACTCTTTGGTAGAGAACTTTTGGTTTTTCTTCATCAATATATAGATAGAAATTGATAGAGAGAAAAGGGTCAGAAGTCACAAAGGTCATACAAAATATACATCAAGTATATTCTTCTTAGCGTTTCTTCCTGGTTGCTGGAAATTTGCCGGAATCCTCGGAGTCCTCCGGAGTCGTTGGTGGAAAATTTATCGTCCTCTGCTCCTTGTTCTTGCTCACTGCCCAAAATGAGGTAATTCTCCTTCCCGACAACACCTTCTCCGTCTCTTTACTTATTTTGATTTGCTATGTGGGAGGATTCTTAATCTGGGGCTGGTTTATTATTGTGTGTCTTTGAGTTTATAGTAGTCTAATGTGAATATATGTGTTCGGAAGGTTTCATGAGTTATGTTGGTGTCGACTTAAGTCTCTGCTGTTTTGTATATGGTGTTGAAGTTTCTCTGTTGCGTTATCCAATTCTGTTTTATGGTTTCACTTCTCGAATTTGCCTCTTGAATGTTGTTAAGTTTATGTCTTAGCTTAGAATTCGACGTTATAATTTTCCTTTTTCCACCTCAAGTTGGATAAAGAAATTAAGACGTCAAGATTTCGAGTTTACCTCATTTTTACTGCTCGTGTGTGAGTCTTTGAGTCGAATATTTGTCAGAACCTATTTGTGTACACCCATGTTCTGCCGGCTTGAGTTTATATTCTTCTCCACCTCTTGTGAGTTTGATCTGAAATGGTGTTTTCTGTCTATACAAGGGTTCAGGGAATATAGCTTGTATGTGACCAATTAGTCAAGTTCTCTTATTTGGGTCGAGTTGAAATCCTTCCATGATGTAGTGGTGGTGTTTTGTTCCTATATGTACTTACAAAGCATGAACTATTTCCCTTTCTTCACTCTTAATAACTTTATGTTGACAGAATCTCATTTTAGAAAAAAAATCATGGCTTGTACTCCAAACTCTTTTGTATTTAACTGTATGCTCTCTTTAAGGAAGGCCAAAATCGATGAGAATATGTTATATTTCTAAAGCATTTGTAGTGACTCATTCTTTGATACTATTACATTTTTTCTTTTGTTATTTTAATAATGAGGTAGTAAATGGGTTTCCTTTGGCAGTCGCATTTGCTTATAAATTATTAGTAAATGGGTTCCTTGTTGGCTTTGAAATTTGACTTTGTTAAATCTGAGTTTACATGACTTTCATTGCCTTTGACTGTGATAAATGATGTTCTTATTAGTTACTGTTGATTGAACTTTGTTTAAAGTTGAATTTAAATCAATCAAATGTCGTGTGGTTATTTTTGTTTGTCTTATCATCGTGAGTAGATGCTAACTCTTATTTATGTGTTCTTTTCATGTGAAATATCCCCCGAGTCTTCACGGACTCTATTTCTTCTCCTTGCATTTTCCCATCGGGCCACGAGGGCCCAATATGCGTGTTTCTCGAGTCAATCCCATGGCAAATTCTGAAGTCGGTGAACAGGTCCTATTGGGAACAATACAGGGACCAAAAGCCAAATTTTGACGTCCGAAAAGTCCAAAAAGGCTGAATATACTTGTTGTATACATGGGTATACAATACAATATACAGGCTCAAAATGGTGATACACAGGTGCTGAAAATGCGGAAACAAGTCCCTAAAATCTCAAGTATAGATGGCACAAGAAAGGGGCTCAAAAGCCTCAGAAATTTCCAACAGATTTTTGAGCGAAAATGGGCCAACCCATCATTTTGGACCTAATGTTTAGACTTAGGCCAGGAAAATAATTTGGGGCCCGTCAAAATTTGAGAATTTGGGCAAGATTGGCCCAAGTCCAATATTCTTTCCTTCGCTCTTTATTTATTTGTTATTATGTTGACTAACATCATATTCGACTTTGGTTTTGACTTAATTAATTCCTCAAGGATAGCCATCTCTTTTTCATATTCAAGTTATATATATATTCTAATTAAAATATTTATGTTTTAATACTTTAATTTTATTATTAGCCTTGTCAACACTTAAGTTATTTCCCCTTAGAATAACCCCCCCTTTAATCCTATCTCCCTTAAGATGATAATAATAATAATAATAATAATAGTAATAATAATAATAATAATAATAAAAATAAAAATAAAAAAATAAAAACTATAAGTTTGTTTACTTAGCTAATGTCTTTCTCAAAATTAGTCAAGTCATTTTAGTCAAATCACCGGTCAACCGCAAGTTAGCGGGCATTTCGAGGGCCTAACACCTTCTTGGAATGTATATTTGAACTCAAACCCTTTTTCAATTGATTTTTTCTATTTAAATCTTTTGAAAACCTTAAGTGTTTTTTTTCTTGATTTTTTACTAAAAAATTAAGTGGCGACTCTGTTTAGACAAAACCTTCCTCAAAGATGCATACTCCCATGTTTGATCGAACCTGTGGCGCCACACTTTCTTGTTTTTGGAAGCTTAACCGATCTGGGTAAGCGTCTTCTTCTTCAATTTTTGGACTTTGTAACTTCTTCTTTCATGATTAAGATCCATCCTTTACATTGTAGCTAAGTACAAAGTATGAAAATGAGTTGAAATCAAGGTCTTTTAATCTCTCTGTTGAAAGTGTGCCCTGCGTGTGAATTGAAATTCCAGTGGCTTCAAATGTGTGACCAGATGTATAACTTATTTTGCCTCATTCGAATTGAGCTCTTTTTATTTGAAAAAAAAAGCTCTGCCCTTTGTATTGACATATTTTTTATCTGCAAAAATATAAACTGTCTCTCCAGTAGGCTATTAGTCTTGTTGTAAATTGGACCGAAGTGAACTCGTCTGAATTCTTGCTATGTTAGAAATCTGAATTTGAATTCTTCCATATCGTATTCACTTATCATGATGTTGGCTAGTGTCTAAAAAAGGCCTTTGATCAAATGATAAAAGAAAACTCCCCTTCCTTGATGTTGTGTTGCTGTGAAATCCTTTTAGTTTTGATCCTTAAGTTTGGCACTAGTTGTTTTTCAAGGTTTAGGATTTTCCTGGGTAGTTCGGTGAAAGTGGAAAAACTCAATCTCCCTTCTCTATCCGAAGCTAGATTAGCCATGTAATCCGCCAATGTATTCCCTTCCCTATAAGCATGTTGGATCCTAACTTGACATTGAAGTGCTAGAGCCTTGATATCACTTACTAGAATAGCAATATGCCAAGGCACTTCCCAAATTCCGGCTAGTATCTTCACCAAAATTAAAGAATCTGTTTTGATGCATACCTTATCGAGACATATGGCAACACAGTGATAAATTGCTTCTTTGATTGCAATTGCCTCTGCCTCAATGTTGGTGCATTCATTGATTTCTTCCCCTTGAGCGTAGATTAGATCCCCTTTATGATTTCTCAAGCAAAACCCATAAGCACTTCTACCTGGATTACCCCTTGATGCTCCATCAATGTTGCATTTTAGGGTACCTAACTCAGGTGGTTTCCATGTGATAGATGAATAGTATATTTTGGGCTTGTAATTTCCCAAAAAATCTATTATATCTGGCCAACTTCTAGGAATTTGTTGCATAGCGGGATAAGTTATTTACACCAATCTCCATATGTCATTGCTAACTCTATAAATCAGACTGTTGTAACTCATCCCTCTTCCATGTTTGATACTACTCCTTCTTTTCCATAAATGCCATAGAATAGTTGTTGGTACTGCAGTGATAATAGGTCTTAGCTTTGAGCAAAATGGTGTTGTCCACCATTTTTGAATCACTTGTGAAAGCTGCAAACCTTTGATATTTATTCCTGCAAAATTAGCAAACAATCTCCATAGCCTTGCAGCTATGGATGAGGTTAGAAAAAGGTGCGACATAGTCTCCCCATTAGGATTTTGGCAACACCAACATTGAGATACAAGTTGAATTCCAATATTTTGCATAACTTCATCTATTGGAATTCTAAACTTCCATAGTCTCCAAAGGAAAAATGACATTTTGAAAGGCAATTTGTTAATCCACATATGCTTAAAAATGTCTTCCTTTTCCTCTTTCAGTCTTATGTATCCCCAAGCACTCTTCACAGAGAATCTCCCCGTTGTTTCCAGCATCCACTTTGCCTGGTCAATATCACTATTAATATCTGGAGGTGGTATGTTTCTAATAATATGCTGCACATACTCCTCTGGCATACAATCCCTTCGCTCATGTATATTCCATTCTTCCATCCCTGCGAAAGTGTTAACCTCTATTTCCTCTTCCTCGGCTTCTGGTAAGACATGATAAAGTGATCCCAAGCCTGTCCAATTGTCGTACCAGATGTATTTCACTAACTTCTATCACATTTCAAAAAAAAGAAATAATTTAGTACTTCTTATTCATATTTTTATAGCATATAGAATAAAATTTTGGGGCCTTCAATTTGGGGGTCTAATTGTCTTTTTTTTTTTTTTCACCTGGGGTCTAATGTCTAAAACACTTGATTTAGTGGCTTTCCCATTCAACCGACACTGACAACATATAATTAGCGGAAGACTTAGAATATTTTTTCTCTTTCACTACACTAATCTCAATATAAACACGATATAATACTTTTCATCTTTTACCCTCTATGTTTTCTTATATATAAAATAATGAAAGACCTTCACTATTTATAGAAAGATTATAGGGTAATAAATGAAATGTTGCACAATCACATTACACATGATTAAATATTGAAATTCTCAAATACTTGAAATGCATTTTGCTCCAACACATTACATAAGAATACTGTGCAAAATTAAAGGTAAAAGAACACAAACTCACTCATCCTCTGCATCAGTAAAAAGCACAAAACAAAGGATAGAAGCACTGAACTCATTCCGTTTCAAGATTTGCCGGTAATCAAAGGAAATAGTGATATTTATTGCAACCATCTAGAATTTCTGAAAACTGAATCATGCACAAATCAAGTGCTAAAAAATAGAAGCAATCTTTACATGAATCCCAAAATTTAGCAAACAAGTGATTGATTTGTAACAAGAGATTCTGAGAAAATGCTCAACATGTAAGAAGTTGAATCTTGATCTTCTGTAGCATCCCTACAACATCTTTCATGTTTGTCCTTCTTGCCGGAGATTCAACACAACAATCTAATGCCACTTTCATGATTGATGCCACAACATCTAGCTCCTTCTGTAAGCAATTGTCCATTGGTACTGTTACCAAATTGGCATCTACAACGTCCATTACTGCCTCGGGGAGTGAATAACTCACCCATTGCTTCAAGCTAAGATCTCCTTCAAACTCAGTAGGCTTTCTCCTAGTAAACGTTTCCAGCAACATGATCCCGTAACTATAGACATCACATTTTATTGACACCAGTCCATCCAGTCCATACTCTACAGTCAGACAATTAATTTAAATATGCAATATACTTTCTTGATTGAAAAACAAAAGATGAAAAATCAATGTTCAAATTAGCAAAAACAAAGAGACGTACCCGGTGCAATATAACCAAATGTTGCTAACGTTTTAGTGTATAAATCACTCTCATCTTCACCAAGCAGTTTTGAAATACCAAAGTCACTTAGGTGGGCAACCATATCCTCATCCAGCAAGACGTTACTAGGCTTTAGGTCACAGTGAATCACCGGAGAGGAGCATCCATGATGAAGATATTCCAAAGCACATGCAACATCTATCATAATGCTTAGTCTCTGCCTGATGTCTAGGAAGTAGTTGTGCGAATACAAATACTTGTCAAGACTTCCATTAGGCATATACTCGAGCACTAAAGCCTTAAAATCAAGGTTGGAACAACTAGTGATGACTTTCACGAGATTTCTATGGCGAAGGCTACGCAAAACTTCACACTCTATATCGAAACTCTTGAATGCCGCTTCCAGTTGCAGATTGAACACTTTAACTGCAATGGCAGTCCCACTCCTGAGAACGCCTTTGTAAACAGAGCCAAAACTTCCAGAGCCAATCAGATTAGTACTCTCGCTAAGTGAATCAGTTGCTTGGAGCAGTTCATAGTAAGAAATTCTTTCTGTTGTTGCGATAGACAATGAATCAGCTCGTTGAGGAACTCTTTTACCTCTTCTATACCTTATCCATATAAACACAAAGGCAAGAGGAACAAATACAAGTGCAATTCCCAGCATAAGAAATAGAGCAAACATTTGTTTCCTATTTGATCTGTGCTTTGATGAAGTGGGGCATCGCGGGACACTAAATCTTGAAGAACCACACAATGCTTCATTGTCGATAAAAAACTGACTCGAGAGGTTCTTGAAAGGACCCCCCGAGGGTATTTCACCATACAATTTGTTGTCAGAAACATTGAAATACTTGAGGTATTGAAGTTTCTCCATAGACATAGGAATGGTTCCTGATATATTATTATGAGAAATGTCTAGGAATTCCAAACCTACCATGTTGCTCACTGAGTCAGGTATAGATCCTTGCAACTTGTTGCGTCTCAAAGAAAGATGCACCAGATTTTGCAATCCTCCAATTTCCCTAGGAATTCCATTTGAAAATTGATTCATTGACAGATCCATATATGTCACAGCCTTTAGATTTCCAATTTCTGGAGGTAAAGAACCAACCATGTTGTTTGATGACAAGTTAAGAACCATTAGATTTTTAAGATTTCCTATGCTTGTTGGTATATTGGAACTCAATTTATTGGAATACATATGTATCTCTCTAAGGGAAGTGACGTTCCCTAAACAATTAGGAAGAGATCCTGAAAGTTGATTTTGTCCCAAGTAAATAGCACCCAAATGCTGCAATTTACATAAATTATCTCCAATAAATCCCGTAAGCTTGTTGTTGTTCAAGTACAGGCGCTGAAGGTTTCTCAAGTTACGAGTTGAGGTAGGAATTGATCCAATCAAGTTATTATTAGAAAGATCAAGGTCTAATAAGCTGCTTAAGTTGCCAACTTCATTTGGAATCTGACCGTTAATCTTGCAAGCAGCGGCATAAAACTTTACAAGAGATTTGGAGAAATTCCCTACAGAGACTGGAAGCATGCCATTTAGAGGGTTGAAAGATAGAGAAAGAGTTGTTAATCTTCTGCAATTGGTTAAGGAAGTGAGGAAGCTTAAAAATGAATCACTGGTTAAATTGTTTCCCCACAAGTTTAGGAAGTTTAGATGAGTCAAATATCCAAGAGAATTGGGTATTAAGCCACTGAGTTTGTTATCTGAAAGCTCTAGATCAGTAAGCTTTGAACAATTGGAGATAGAATGAGGAATAGTCCCAACAAGATTGGTTAAGGTATGCAGATAAAGTATTTCAATGTTGGGTAAGGTAGAACCTATGTTTGGTGGTAGAGTTCCTGATAGATTGTTGGCTGAAAGTTGAATTGTTCTCAGTCGTGATATGTTGAAGATCTCCATTGGAAGTGAACCACTAAAACTATTAAACCCAACATCAAATTCCACCAACTCAACGAGATTTCTTATATCTTTGGGTATTTCACCTGTCAACACGTGAAGAAAGAATGAGTTTAACTAGCTCAATACAGATCGCTATAACTTTGAATACGTACCAGTAAACGTATTTTCCTTAAGATTTAAGAATTGCATCTTGGTTAAGTTGCCAATCTCCCGTGGTAAGAATCCACTAAGATTGTTGCCCCACAGTAACAATGATTGCAGCGATGAGCTATTGAATATGGAGATCGGGATAGAGCCGGTAATCTGGTTATTCTCCACGCTTAAGTCCACCAAATTAACAAGATTTCCGATTTCTTGTGGAATTATACCTGCATTCAATGTGTAATAAAGAAAGATGTGAGGTAATTAGATACAATAGTAGTAGCATTCATAAGATAAAACATATATACCTGTGAAATGGTTGTATCCAAGATACAATCTCTGCAAGTTACTCAATCTTCCAATTTCATTATGTATTGGTCCATCAAAATTATTTCCAGATAGAGACAATATTTGAAGTCGTGAACAATTTGACAAGCTTGTAGGCATATGACCATCAAGCTTGTTTCTGGATAGATAAAGCTCTTTGAGTATTGGGAGATCATTGCATAAACCATTGGGAAGATCTCCTGATAGGCTATTATATGAAAATGAAATGACTTCAATTCTAGAAATATTGAATATTGTGAATGGTATAGAACCCGTAAGCTGATTTTGTTCTATGGACAACGATTTCAGGTTGTGAAGATTGCCAATCTCTTCCGGGATGTTTCCTTCAAGTAAATTGGTAGATATTTCTAAAATCTCCAACCTTGAGGCATTCGAGAGTGACGGAGGAATGGAACCAGTAAAACTGTTACTCCTAAGGTTTACAACTTGAAGTTGGTGTAAAAACCCAAACCAAGAAGGAATTTCCCCTCTGAAGCTGTTTAAACTTAAATCAAGAAACTTAAGCCGACGCAAATGTGCCATTTCTTGAGGCAAATTTCCATGGAAATGGTTGTTTCCCAAGTCAAGAGAAACAAGAAATGTGAGGTTTCCAAAATCACGGGGAATTCTGCCTGTAAGAGCCAAGTTGGAAAGCTTCAACGACTTCACTCGCTGGTTACGAGAACCACAAATGACTCCAACCCAACGGCAAACAGAAATAGCAGGAGACCAACTTTCATTCAAGAAGTGAAAGGGGTCGGAACTAATTTGGGATTTAAAAGAGAGAAGAGCTAATTGATCAGTGTTAATGTTGGTTTGGGTCATAACATAGTGAGGCAACAAGAGTATTGTTAAGAATAAAATAGTGACGGCTTTCTCCATTAGTGCAAATATTAGTACTAGTAACCTGTGGTTTACAGACTTTGAATAGCAATAAGATCTCTTTTTAGGAGATTTTTCCATTCAATCAAGTATTTCACATCTCAATCAGAATTGTCAAATATGGAGGCAAAAAATTCCTCTAATCAGCCAACTAAGACATGGCAAATCAACCACGTCTTGCTTTATTTATTGTGTGCTTAATTCTTTGTAAATAGTCTTGCTTTCATATTCTCTAGAATTGTGTGATGAAAAGTAGGACCTACAGTGGAAAAGGACCTCTGCTAAATTTGTTTTCCTAATATAGTTATATCTCATTATTATTATTACTAGTTTCTGATAACGTGTGTTACACGTTGCCCTTACTATTATTATAATTTTTTTATTTATTTAATAGTGAGTTATAAGATAGAAAATACTGAAATTAACAATATATAATTTTACTATTTATTTATTATTCATTAAAAAAAATCATAAAATAGAATGGTACATTTGCTATCAAACCAGAAATATGCGAAACTAATTAAGAGAATATAGTCTCTAAATTCCTGATTGAAAAATAATAATAAATGTATATAATGCCTTTAATGAAATAACAAAGGCGCGAGACAAATTTATCAGAAATATAAATTTCAATTACATATTATGCATACTACAACAAAAAGATCCTAAAATATGTACCAAACAAATGACTTATTTTTCTATAAAGCACCTAAACATCGAAGTTTAACGACAATACGATAAAATTGCCTGGAGAATGCAATTACTTATGATAAGTCCACGGATCTACATATGAGTATATTTTATTGTATTTATATAAAATATAGCACTATTTGTGTTAACTTTTGATGATATGATGCTTCAGTATTCATGAAAAATTCAACACTCTATTCGAATAGTAAAAATAATTAATATCTTTTAGTTTTGAAATTTAATTTTTAATAAACAGAAAATAAATTAACAAAATAAGAAAAACAGACAAACCAATAATAACATTATAAACATGTTTGTGATGAGTCATGTATAATTTGAAGGAAAAAATATTACAAATTCAAACTCAAGAGAACATAATATCTAAGACATAGGAAGATTAAAATATGTTCTCTAACTAAAATCTTAATCTTCAATCACCCAAAAATTAAATAGGAGAAGGAAAGACTCTTATAAGAGAAATGATGATTTATACAATCTAAAAGCCTGTATGTGAAAATAAGAGAACAAATATATTGCATAAAAAAAAAAATTATAGCTGCGAAAAATACCATGTGTGATTCTCAAAGGTAAAATTATTTTACTAATTATATACTTTCATCATATTTATTGTTGAAATTTCACCTTTTCAAAAATGAAAAACAAGCTAAGGAAAAATAAAGTAAAAAGGGGAAAAAGGAACAAATAAAGATTAATAAAATAGAGAAAGGGAAAAAAAACCCAGTGAATAAATGTGTTATAAAAATCCTCGGATCAATCTATATACCTTGAATTCCAAGAACACTTCAAATTGCATCACAAATTAATCTAAAAAGAGGCATATTCTACAATAAGAGAGCGGGGAGCGTTAGAAGAAAACAACAAAGAAATAGTGTTAAAAATTTGAAACCTTCCAGATTCAAAAACAGAAAATTGATGAAGGGCAGGAGGACTATGACATAATCAGTTCCTCACCGTTGTCGCTGTCGAGAAATCGCTGCAGGCACCACACTTCATATGTTCTTCATGATTGTCTTTGAGTCTTCGGTTTCTTAACTAAAATGGTGTTCCTATATCTGCCATGCCTTTTGAAATGTCTATGAAGATGAAATGATTTACTTAAAGATGTAACATATATAGTTTCTTGGGAAAAGGCTCAAAAATGTCGTTAACCTATTAGAAAAGGTTCAAAAATGTCCTCCTTCTATTTATTGGTTTAAAAATACCATCAACGTTTTCTTTAGGCTCAAAAATACCTTTTAAAAAAGGGAAAATGGTCAAATATGCCCTAAACTATTCGAAAAGCTCTAGATATACCCCGTTCAAAGTTTGGCTCACTCATGCCCTTGCCGTCCAACTTTTGGTCTAGATATGCCCTTATGACGTTAAATTGTCCTGCTGGAAATTTCCAACTCATTTTATATTTCTTTAAATGTCAAATGGAATTGCCACGTCATTTTTATATTACCACGTGTTATTTATATTAAAAGGGAAAGGGGTCGCTTATGCCCCTAAACTATCCGACCCACTTTTAAAACACATATCCGACCCATAAATCACCCATCTTTTAAATAACCTATTCGATCCGTTTTCAACAATTTTGTTTTATTTTTATTTTTTTCGAAAAATCCCAAAAATGAGTAATTGATTAATAAAAAATAGGAAAAATATAAACTAACGCCAAAAATTTACAAATAAATATAGTCATATTTTATCAAATGACTCAAATCACGAGATGAAATCGCATAACCAAAGCTACTTAGTGAAATAGAATAAATTGTTGCTCATGAGGTATAAGTTGTTATTCTAATTTTCAAGCAATTTTTTTCAAAGTTAAGGTCATTTTTTTTAAAAAAATATTATTAAAAGGCTAATAAAAAATTCAAGACGAACACTTTGAATCATTATTTTTCAACTGCAGGAGCTGAAATGTGGTTATTTGTTGAATTTTAGCGAATGATTTTCCCTTTAATGTCTCAGATATGAAATATATCCATTATTTTCAAGACACTGATAAAGCAATCAGTACATGAATGCGTAGCTTACTGCATGATTTGTTGCCCGCAACATGTTCGACGTTTAGCCTCAATGAATTTCTGCAAATTGTTTTGTTTGTTTTCTAATAAGTCTTAGGTGTTCAACAATGTACGATTTTGAGTCATGGATTCATTCATTGATGTTTGTGTAGTTTGCCTGCATTACAAATTACAACCTTGGATGAGATCCTTCTTCTGTTCTTCATATATAGCTTGCATGAATGCATTTTTTGTCATTGCTCTTTTTGTTTGTTATCTTGATGTCTTAGTGTTTCCCATGTAAAACATTTATTATATTACTTGCTTATTTGTATTCATATAGTTTCCACCAACAATTTACAAAAATATCATTCTGCTTCAAGATTTTCAAGAGGATCAATTTGGTTGTAGTTTTTAAGAGGAAACAGTGACATTTATTGCAACGAACTAGCATTTCTGTAAACAGAATCATGCACAAATCAAGTGCTAAAACAAAACAAAAAAAGTGATCGATTCGAAACAAGAGATTCAGAGAACATGATCAGCATGCAAGAAGTTGAATCTTGATCTTCTGTAGCATCCCTACAACATCTTTCATGTTTGTCCTTCTTATCGGAGATTCAGCACAACAATCTAATGCTACTTTCATGATTGATGCCACGATATCTAACTCCTTCTGTAAGCGATTATCCATTGGTGTAACCAAGTTGGCATCCATAACGTCCATTACTGCCTCTGGGAGTGAATAACTCACCCATTGCTTCAAGCTAAGATCTCCCTCAAAATCACTAGGCTTTCTCCTAGTAAATGTTTCCAGCAACATAATCCCGTAACTATAAACATCACATTTTATTGACACCAGTCCATCCAGTCCATACTCTACAGTCAACAATTAATTAAAAGATGCAATATACTTTCTTGATTGGAAAAAATAATAATAAGAGGAAAAATCAATGTTCAAATTAGCAAAAACAAAGAGACGTACCCGGTGCTATATAACCAAATGTTGCTAAGGTTTTTGTGTATAAATCACTCTCATCTTCACCGAGCAGTTTTGAAATACCAAAGTCACTTAGGTGGGCAACCATATCCTCATCCAACAAGACGTTACTAGGCTTTAGATCACAGTGAATCACGGGCGAGGAGCATCCATGATGGAGATATTCCAACGCACATGCCACATCTATCATAATGCTTAGTCTCTGGCTGATATCTAGGAAGTAGTTGTGCGAATACAAATAATTGTCAAGACTTCCATTAGGCATATACTCGAGCACTAAAGCCTTAAAATCCAGGTTGGAGCAACTAGTGATGACTTTCACGAGATTCCTATGGCGAAGGCTGCGCAAAACTTCACATTCTGTATCAAAACTCTTGAATGCCGCTTCCAGTTGCAGATTGAACACTTTAACTGCAATGGCAGTCCCACTTCTGAGAACACCTTTGTAAACAGAGCCAAAACCTCCAGAACCAATCAGATTACTCTCGCTAAGCGACTCAGTTGCTTGGAGCAGTTCATAGTATGAAATTCTTTCTCTTGTGACGGTAGACAATGAGTCTGCTTGTTGAGGATCACTTTTACCTCTTCTATACCTTATCCATACAAACACAAAGGTAATAGGAACAAATACAAGTGCAATTCCCAGCACAAGAAATAGAACATGCATTTTTTTCCTATTTGATCTATGCTTTGATGATGTGGGCGCATGGTGGGACACTAAACCTTGAAGAACCACACAATGCTTCATTGTCGATGAAAAATTGACTCGAGAGGTTCTTGAAAGGACCCCCCGAGGGTATTTCACCGTACAGCTTGTTGACAGAAACATTGAAATACTTCAGGTTTTGAAGTTTCTCCATATACATAGGAATGGTTCCTGATATATTATTATGAGAAATGTCTAGGAATTCCAAACCTACCATGTTGCTCACTGAGTCAGGTATAGATCCTTGCAACTTGTTGTGTCTCAAAGAAAGATGCACCAGATTTTGCAATCCTCCAATTTCCCTAGGAATTCCATTTGAGAATTGATTCATCGACAGATCCATATGTGTCACAGCTTTTAGATTTCCAATTTCTGGTGGTAAAGAACCAACCATGTTGTTTGAGGATAAGTCAAGCTCCATTAAATCCTTAAGATTCCCTAAACTTGGTGGTATATTGGAAATCAATTTATTGGAACCAAGATGTATCAATCTAAGGGAAGTAACATTCCCTAAACAATTAGGAAGAGATCCTGAAAGTTGATTTTGTCCCAAGTAAATAGCACCCAAATGCTGCAATTTACAAATGTTATCTCCAATAAATCCTGTAAGTTTGTTGTAACTCAAGTTGAAGCGCTGAAGGTTTCTCAAGTTGCCAATTGATGTGGGAATTGATCCAACCAGGTTGTTTCCAGAAAGATCAAGCTCTAATAAGTTGCTTAAGTTCCCAACTTCATTTGGAATTCGCCCTTTAATATTGCAAGAACTGGCGTAAAACATTGTAAGAGAAGTGGAAAGGTTCCCTGCAGATACTGGAAGCATGCCGTTTAACGGGTTCAAAGATAGAAAAAGAATTGTTAAATTTCTACAATTGGTTAAGGAAGTGAGGAAGCTAAACGATGAGTCACTTGTTAAATTGTTTGCTGCCAAGTTTAGGAACTGTAGATTAGCCAAATATCCAAGAGAATTGGGAATCAAGCCAGTAAGTTTATTATTTGAAAGCTCTAGATAGTAAGTTTTGAACAATTGGAAATAGAATGAGGAATAGTCCCAACAAGATTTGTTAAGACACCCAAATAAAGCTCTTCAATGTTGGGTAAGACAGAATCTATGCTTGATGGTAGAGTTCCTGATAGATTATTGTTTGTAAGAGAAATTATCCTCAAGCGTGAAGTACTGTTGAACATCTCTATTTGAAGTGAACCACTGAAACTATTTAACCCGAGACTAAGTACCTCCAACTCCATCATATTGCTTATCTCTTTGGGTATTTCACCTAAAGAAATTAAGAATGAGTTAGTTCAAGCTAGTACATGTTTATAATTTTCCTATCACTTCGAATACGTACTAATAAATGTATTTTCTCTAAGATCTAGAATCTGTATCTTGGTTAAGTTGCCAATCTCTCGTGGTAAGGATCCCTTGAGATTGTTCCGCCATAGTCCAAAACGTTGCAGTGAGGAGATATTGAATATGTTGATCGGGATAGAGCCGCTAATCTGGTTATCCTCCATGCCTAAATCCGCCAAATTAGCAAGATTTCCTAACTCTTGTGGAATTATTCCTGCAGTTCAAGTTCAATATTACAAGTGTTCATAAAAGAATCCATAAAACAACTAATAATTCTGTAGCTAGGATCGTACCTGTGAAATGGTTAGATCCAAGATACAATATCTGCAAATTACTCAATCTTCCAATTTCACTATGTATTCGTCCGTCAAACTCATTGCCTGATAAATTCAATATTTGAAGTTGTGAACAATTTGACAGGCTTGTAGGCATATGACCACGAAGTTTGTTTGTGGATAGATAAAGCCCTTTGAGTATTGGGAGACCGTTGCATAAACCATTGGGAAGATTTCCTGATAAGCTATTGTCTGTAAATGCAATGAATTCGATTCTAGAAATATTGAAAATTGTGAACGGTATAGAACCCGCAAGTTTATTATGTTGTATGGACAACAATTTCATCTTGTGTAGATTGCCAATCCCTTCTGGAATGTTCCCTTGAAGTAAATTACGAGATAAATCTAATGCCTCCAGCCTTGAGGCATTCGAGAGTGATGGAGGAATAGAACCTATGAGATTATTTCCATACAAGCTTAAAACTCTCAGGTTTATAAGACTTCCAATCACTTCTGGGATTTCACCCTCTATGGAATTGAAATTCAGATTCAAAGTCTCAAGTGTGGAAATATTAGAGAATGAAGAAGGGATGGAACCAATGAAACTATTATTTCCAAGATTTAGATCTTGAAGTTGGTGTAAAAACCCAAACCAAGAAGGAATTTCCCCTCTAAAGTTGTTGAAACTTAAATCAAGAAACTTAAGCCGATGCAAATATGCCATTTCTTGAGGCAAATATCCCTGGAAATTGTTGCTTCCCAAGTCAAGAGAACCAAGAAATGTGAGGTTTCCAAAATCACGGGGAATCCTGCCTGTAAGAGCCATGTTGGAAAGATTCAAGGACTTCACTCGATGGTGATGAGAACCACAAGTGACTCCTACCCAACGACAAACAGAAATAGCGGGAGACCAGCTTTCATTCAAGAAGTGAAAGGGATCCGAAATGATTTGAGATTTTAAAGAAAGAAGAGCTAACTGATCAGTAGTAATGTTGGTTTCGGTCATAACATAGTGAAGCAACAAGAGTATTGTTAAGAGAAAAATAGTAAAGGCTTTCTCCATTAGTGCAAATATTAGTACTAGTAACCTGTGGTTTTGAGACTTTAAATAGCAACAAGATCTCTTTTTAGGAGATTTTTCTATTCAATACCAATACCACCAAATCAACCAAATCTTGCTTTCATAATTCTGTAGAATTCTGTAGTCAAAAGTAGTGCTGCATTTATCAACTTACTACTCCTACAATATGTATGAAAGGTTGGCAAAAAGTTGAAGTGGCAGACCAAGAAAAAAAAATATTACTAGTGTTTGACTTGGAAAGGAGTCACCACTAACTTCTATAATCATAATGTATGGACGCTCAAGATATAGTGTACAATTTCTTCAAGATATACTCTAATTAGTTACTTCAAGTTAGTGAAAGAATCCAAACCAAGAAGGAACCTCAACTATGAAGTTGTTCAAACTTAAATCAAGAAACTTGAGCCGACGCAAGGTGTCATTTCTTGAGTCAAATTTCCCTGGAAATTGTTGTTTACTGTTAGTGAGTTGAAGTCTCACATTGGTTAGGGAATAGATTGACGATCAATTTAATAGACTTGGGGTAATCCTCTCCTCTTGAGCTATTCTCTAGAATTGTGTGATGAAAAGTAGTGCCACATTTACTAACTTATACTACTATACGGATGATACATTTCTTTTTTTTCTCAGGTACTAGCAACTCTCTGACTCTTATGCTAAACACCCTCAACAATTATGAAGACATCTCTGGTCAACTAGTGAACATGAATAAATCTTGCTATTTGGTGGCTCCAAACACATATGCCGATACAAATTGAGGAATTAAATCAATCCATTGACGTAACTGGTAAAGTTGGACTTGGTGACATGTGACCAGAAGGTGTGGAAATAGCCTTTTGTAGAAATGTAGGGTAAGGACTAAGGACCCTTGCAGTTCGGTCCTTTCCTGAATCGCACACATAGTGGGAGCTTAGTGCACCGAATTGCTTTATATTGGCTTCAACAGCAACTTTCCTTTTATATATCTTGGATATCCAAACTAGTTGTGAAGAAAAAAGGTGGCATACTTTAGTGGCCAAGATCACTGGAAAGTTACATGGAAAATTATATATCTGTGACTGATCCCCCTAAAACAATGAAGCAAATTGTGAGTTACGTCTAACTGTTCCGGCTCGCGTAGTTTGCTACATTAGTTCTAAAAGGATAAGTTGTGTTGGAATTGACAAAGTTCTATGAAATTCATAATTGCTTAAAAGGACTAGTTAAAGTAGTGGTTAAGGCGCGTAGAGGTACTTTTACAACGATTGCTATACACCAGCCTTACTAACTCGCTTTAAAGAATTCATGATTTATATATGTTTGGGGCGTTGAAAAACAAAGTGGGATAAGGATTAATTTCACATCATGGAAAGATGGGACTTAAGAATATCTCTCAACTAGGACATATAGTGGAAAAGGACCTATCAAATTTCCTAATATGGTAATATCTCATTATTATTCTTTATCATATTCTTGACCTCTGATTTATGCATCATTTCTTAATTACCTTTTTCTCAAGTGTCATCATCTTTTTGTTATTATATTTTCTATAATTGCATTGATAGTCCATTTGGGATAAGATAATATACAACATTTCTAATAACTTATACATATATTAATTGCATAAATTCAAAACAAATATTCTAATAATTTTAGACATGAATAACTAGCTAGTAAATTTTGTATAACTAATGGTGGAATTAATACATGAATAAGTTGCTTCTTTACTAGCTACAATTGACTCCTTAGCTAGTTTTTTAGATGTTAGTAATGTTCTTATTCAGTAGGGAATATATGTATAATTTTATGCAGAAACTAGTTAGTCATGTATTAATTATTTCACCTTTTATTCATAACTTATGCATACATTAGTTCTATGAAATCAAACACCGTATTAATTTTATACATGATTAATTTACCTCATCACCAACTACCACATATGATATATTACTTATGCACGATGTAACACCTGCATAACTCATCATCAAACCAGTTACCAAACGACCCCTTAGTTAATTCAAGGTAAATGCGCTTAACCAAATATTATAAGGATTAAAATAGAAATTTATCAATAATATAGGGACTAAGAGTGCAATTATTCCTTTTTGAAAAAAAAAATGATTACTAAATAAACAAATTGGTAGTTACCTAAAACTCTAGGGGTCTAAATGAATATCTAAAAAGACAGAAAGAAAGAAAGAGAAGACAGAGAGGAAGAAGAAAAAAACCACTAGAGGAAAGAGCTGTATTCACATGGGATGCTGTTTTAGCTAATGGGTCCTTTCTCTCTCTCTCTCCTCTTTCTCTCTCTTAATTCAACCGACAATTATGAGCTTTGAATCATAAAGTTAAGAGTGGACTGAAGAAAAAAAATTCTTCTTCCTTCTTTCTACTTTCCCTTTTCTTTTTTTTTTTTACCAAAATTTTCTTTCTTTGATTTGGAGCTGGGAAATTATGGCTGATGATAAGGTAAGCATTTTGCTTTCTGGTATTTTTTTTTTATGTACGAAAGTTCATAACTTTACTTGTTAAGTTGTTTCATTTTTGGAAATATTTGTGTTGTTGCCCCTTTAGATCAAATTTCAGTACTAATCTGAGTTTAAGTATCATTTTGCTTTGTGGGTTGTAACTTTACTTGTTATATGTTGTTTTCTCTGCTAGTTTCATTTCTTGGAATATTTGTGTTGTTGCCCCCCTTTAGATCAAATTTTAGTAACAATCTGAGTTTAAATGCCATTTTGCTTTCTGGGTTTTTTTTTTATGTAGAAAAAAAATTATAACTTTACTTGTTATATGTTGTTTTTCTTTCTGCTAGTTTCATTTCTTGGAAAATTTTAGGGGAATGTTTGTGTTGTTGCCCATTTAGATCAAATTTCAGTACTAATCTGAGGTTAAATCTAATTTGCTTCGTGGGTATTTTGTTTTATGTACAAAAAGTTCATAACTTTACTTGTTATATGTTGTTTTTCTTTCTGCTACTAGTTTCATTTTTTGGTTATTTTTAGTGGGAAAGATTTGGGTTGTTGTTTCTTGGATTCAAAGTATAACTGCCCCTTTAGATCAAATTTCCTTACTAATTTGAATTTAAATACCATTTTGCTTTCTGGGTATTTTTTTTATGTACAAAAAGTTCATAACTTTACTTGTTAAAGTTGTCTTCCTTCTGCTAGTTCCATTTTTGGAAATTCTTAGTGGGAATATTTAGGTTGTTGTTTCTTGGATTCAAAGTATATTGCTCCTTTAGATCAAATTTCACTACTAATCTGAGTTTTATTACTATTTTGCTTTGTTATTTTTTTTTATGTAGAAAAAGTTCATAACTTTACTTGTTAAGTTGTTTTCTTTCTGCTAGTTCATTTTTGGAAAACTTTTGTGGGAATATTGGTTGTTGTTTCATTACTAATCTGAGTTAAAATGCCTGCAGCACTGTACAAATCTGTTTTGGCCTCTTTTTTTTCGGTTGTATTTTTGTGATTCTTGATTGCAAATCTAGGTCTAGTCTTTAGCTTCTAGTAGGAGGTAATTTTTTTTGTATTGTTTTTCAGAATTTCTTCATATTGAATTAAAAATAAGAGTATGAGCTTGTTACCCCTTTCTCTGAGTCTCAAACTAGCAATTTTGTTCTCTCAAAATTAGTTTCAGTTTCAAAGATTTGTCTTTTTTGTCATTCAAGATTTTCCATTTGCTGATCTGGTAGTCTTTTAGAAATTTAGCTGATGATAGTCGACCTGATCTTTGTTAAGCCTTTTGGAGATACCTGCTACCTTCAAGAATATGTACCTATTAAGTACATGACCTGATCCACAATTTCTCCGAGCTTGTGTAAATCATTTCTTGTTCATATACTTGAATTTTGTTTATTGAAGTATATCTAGTTGCACAAATGTTTCTAATAATAGAAGCTTTCATATTTCTTCGTATGTCATGCTTCAAATTCGGGATTGTTAAGTTTGTGTGGCTTATGCATCTCCAATGATACTTTTGGTCGGTAGTAGTGTTACATGTTTTTAGTATGATAATGCTGTATCAGGTTTTAGAAATTGCTTGTCTGAGATCTGTGTTCGATGTGGATTGTAGGAGATGTCTGCTCCTGTTATGGATGTGAATGGGGGAGTCACGGGTCATATAATTTCCACTACCATTGGAGGTAAAAATGGTGAGCCAAAGCAGGTAAGAATGCGGTCAATGTGGAATTATGAACGTTTGTTATTGAGTTTGGCTCCTATTGAGTGCTGAATTATGTGAGTAATTTATTTCTTATTGAAAATTGAAAATGTGTTTGGCTTTTCGAATAATTTGGTGCAGACAGTCAGTTACATGGCTGAACGTATTGTGGGGACTGGATCGTTTGGAGTTGTTTTTCAGGCAAGTGAGCACAAATTATATTTGTTTTACTAATTGCTGTACCATTTATTAACTTTTGGTCGATTGCTACCTGTCTCGTGTAGGCAAAATGCCTGGAAAATGGGGAGACAGTTGCGATAAAGAAGGTTTTACAAGATCGTAGATACAAGAATCGTGAACTACAGTTGATGCGCACTATGGATAACCCAAATGTTGTTTCATTGAAGCATTGCTTCTATTCAACTACTAGTAAAAATGAGCTTTTTCTCAATTTGGTCATGGAATATGTCCCGGAAACCATGTATCGCATGTTGAAGCATTACAGCAATATGAACCAAAGAATGCCACTCATCTATGTTAAGCTTTACACGTATCAAGTAAGTGACTTTCTTGAGCAGCACTTTTCTTCCTAATCTTGATCTATATTAAACAGAGACTTGTTCAGGTATTTAGGGGGCTGGCATACATGCACACTGTTGCTGACGTTTGCCACAGAGACTTAAAACCTCAGAATATTTTGGTAATGCATCTTCCACGTTGCTATTTCAGCTTGTACATTGTGGCCTTTCATATATTGATATCATTATTTTGGCTTCCACAGGTAGACCCTGTTACCCACCAAGTGAAAATTTGTGATTTTGGAAGTGCAAAAGTGCTGGTAAGTCTTAATCATAAAAGTGCAGTTGTGTGTTTGTTCACATGTACCTTCCTACGAATCCTTTGCCCTTTTTCCTTATTTATCCCTGCCTCATAAAGAGGACTGCTGACATTTGTTTATGTGTAGTATCTGCAACTCTATCCTAGTCAGTATTATTTCTAGAGTTAATGGTCAAAAACACCTAGAGCTAATGGTAAAAATACATTTGAACTGTCACTTTTTCGCAAGTTTCACGCACCAACTATCAGTTGTTCCCTTTTCCTACCTGAACCATCACCATCTACTCAATGAGGTGTGTTCAGCTTAGGAAAAGGGAAAATTGATAGTTGAGGTGTGAAGCTTGCAAAAAATTGATAGTTCAGGTGTATTTTTGGACCATTATCTCTTATTTGTAACATATGTCAACGAATAGTTTTGAACCTGGATACTGCCCCTTGCATGAAGAATCATGTTCCACAAATTTGTTAGGTAGAAAGTGATTGTTGTCGAAATTTTTTACTTTCCAAATGTCATTGAACATTATATACCATATGGAGTTCACAAACTTCTTGTCAGAACTATCGTCTAAAATGCTATCTCTCTTAGGTGGAGATCCTGTTTACCAAACTGTTGTCTTTGAGAACTAAGTTCTCTACATCCATGTCTTGGTTGATTTATTGCTGTTTCCTGCCATTGCATCTTCTGTTTGCTCAGTTTAAAAATGAGTTGATTGAAGTTTACTGTTGAATCAAGCTGCTATTCAATTATTTTGTTCTAAACATATGGGCATGGAGAAGTTGTTTCTTCTAAGAGAACTCCTCTAGGCTCTATGGTTTCTTATTTATCTAAAAGTTGGTACATTTTAGATTAAGGTTTGTGTACTTGTGACGTACTGAGTATAACATTCATCAGGTTAAAGGTGAAGCAAACATCTCATACATCTGTTCACGGTTTTATCGGGCTCCTGAACTCATATTCGGTGCAACAGAATATACGACCTCTATTGATATCTGGTCAGCTGGTTGCGTCCTTGCAGAGCTTCTCCTAGGCCAGGTTTGTAAAAATCTAGGTTTTTTTCCTTGCTAAAGTAGTCTGTGAGGTTTTTCGTGCTCCATAATCCCGCATTAGCAATTTATTTTGACTAGTTTTGCAATATTTTTTGTAGCCATTATTTCCTGGAGAAAATGCTGTCGATCAGCTTGTTGAGATAATCAAGGTACAGCTTGAATTTTTAAATCGGATGCAAATGTTTCTGTACAATTGTTGTTCATTTGCTTCATCTTCCAGGTACTTGGAACACCAACAAGGGAGGAAATCCGTTGTATGAATCCAAATTACACTGATTTTCGGTTTCCACAAATCAAAGCACACCCTTGGCATAAGGTATACATACTTGATTTCAGCTTTACCCAGTGGAAGAAAGAGTTTGTAGTTTTGTGTGTAGCTTATCCTGCTTTTCATTTGGTAAAAATGTTAAATAGGTACTCCTTCCGTTCAATTTGGTTGTTCGGTTTTGACTTGGCACGAAGTTTAAACAAGTAAAGAAGTTTTTTGGATCTTGTAGTCTTAAACTAAAGATATGTAGAATGTACCAAAATTCCCTTTAATCTCGTGGTCTAAAGAGTTGCAAAAAGGAAAGAGAATTCTTTTTTAAACGGACTAAAAAGGAAAGTAAGACAAACAAATTGAAACAGATGGAGTAATATTTTTCTACGATCATCTACTCCATTAACTTTTAGGGAGCTATTAATCTTTAGTATTTACATTTGCGAAAATTTGCACTCCAAAAGTTCATTCAATTAAGTACATCTCAATTTGCAATCGACAAATTGAGAGGCTGAAAAGTTTTAATTAATACCTATGGAGAGTAGGCATAATTCTGTTTTTGAGTTTGTTCAAAATCCATGATTGTACAATTTATATTAGCTATACTGGCAGATTGAATAGACATGGAATTCATTCTGCCTAAGCAGCTATCCGTTGAGAACAGAAATCATAAAATAAGTAATTCCTTGAAAAGGGAACTTATTGTAGTTAGATGAGTATAGGTTTTTTGTGGATTCTTACCTTCAATAATAACCCTGTAAATTCTACTCCTAGCACGTAATTTCTCTGCTGCTGACTCACTATATTGCCCTTGTTGTGGTCTTAGGTATTCCACAAACGAATGCCGCCTGAAGCTATTGACCTTGCTTCACGTCTATTGCAGTACTCACCTAGTCTTCGTTGCAATGCTGTAAGTTTGATCTAGTTGTCTTTTATCTAATGTGACTTTTTTTTCATTATGCAAGTTATCTTGATTGCATCTAGCATGCTTTGCCTACTTTTCATTTGGGGTTAGTAATGCAGGTCTTTTATATTCCAGCAAACAATACCATGTTTCTAAACTACTCTTTATTGGATGCCAAGAACCTAAATCTAACTAGTTAGTGTTCTACGTTTCTTTCTGCAGCTTGAAGCATGTGCACATCCATTCTTTGATGAGCTTCGAGAACCCAACGCACGCCTTCCCCATGGCCGGCAATTGCCGCCTCTTTTCAATTTTAAGCAGGAGGTATGTATTTCACTCATGGTCATTCTAGTTTTGTGAAGCATGTTAAGAGTGATCCATTCAATGGACCCTGCTAGAGGGGGGAGAGCAAAGGAAACACTCGTTTGGGAGAAAAAAAATCATTTGATTCTAATATGATACATTTCCGAAAGTGTGATTGCACGATGTGTTTTAATAAACTAAATCACCTAGCTAACCACTATGCCAGAGTTGCTATGGATGATAGCAGACTTGCCCATCAGCTATGTGAAATCTCCCGTGATTCGCAATAAGTGTGCCTAAGCTTTCTGTATACTATTGACCTTAATAATAAATCTGCAAGAACTTGCAAACATCGACCTAAGGCAGTTTTAGAGACGACAACAATAACAACAATCTACCTAGTGTAGTCCCACAAGTGGGGTCCGGGGTGGGAAGATGTATGCAGACCTTACTCCTTTACCTTTGCGGGGTAGAGAGGTGGTTTCCGGTAGACCCTTGGCTCAAAAGAGAAGATATTTGAAGCAATTGTAGAGACAACTTTACTAAATTATCTGAAGTAACTCATTTGCTAATCAAGCGTATTAAAGCAGCTGTTATGGTGATCCATATTTCATTGTTTCAGTTGGCTGGTGCCTCTCCAGACCTCATTAACAGGTTGATACCAGATCATATAAAAAGGCAAATGGGACTGCATCATTTCACGACCCGTGATGACATGACGTGAAAAGTACATGTTTAGCTAAGTATACCTGTTGATGATGATCTGTATATCAAGAGATCCGAGTTTACTTCTCCCCGACAGGTTCCACCATGACAAGCTGCATCTCCTTGTCGACGAGAGGATAAAGTACAGGGTTGTTGCTGTGTATTTCAATCCTTCATCGTGGTATTGTCTTTTCTCGTTCCACTCTTCGAGTATCTCTCCGTCCTCTCTTACCGGCCGACTAGCGTAAGGAAAGTTCTTTTTCTGTACATGTTTTGGTAGTAGTAAATGGCCAGAAAGCTCCCACCATCATACAAATGAAATGTATTTTTTAAAAAAGAAAAGCAAGGAACTAAGGGGGGCTGTTTAATCTCTTGTAAAATTTGATATGTGTTATGTTTGTATTTATTTTATTTTATTTTTACTTTCTGCTAACATTTGTTGCTTTTAAGAAAAGAATATTTAATGGATTTTCTATTTTATTCCCTTTTCTTCTGTCTAGTCTATCAAAGTCAGAGTGGGGAGGGAATGTTTATTTACTGTTGTTGTAGTACGACTTCATATCTTGTTCCGTCTTTCAATATGTAGTCAGCTGTAGGCATAGTCGAGACTCAATTGATTCTCTTTTTTTTTTTCATTTCATTTTCTCTTTTCTTTTAATATATAATCTTGGTGTTTGAGTAAGTTTGTATAAGTTTATATCTTTGTTCACTAAAGTTTTAATTTAATTGGGGCAGAGCTAGAAGGGACGAAAATGTGTTCATTGCTTGGTAAATAAAATTACATACATAATGTAATTTTTTTTATACATATAGTAGAAGTTGAATTCTCTTGTTAATGATTATGTTGCTCTATTATCGACTAATTGAATAATTTGCAATTTTGTAGTAACACAAATGTTAAAGGTTTTTTAGGACAAAAATGTTTTATAACCCCATAGATATGGAAAAATGTTTAAGATTTATAAGTTAGAAATCCTTTAATTCTTTTAATATTTTTAGTGTCAAACTATGTCAATCAAATTTAAAAGAAACCATTTATATGTTTTGCCTCTAATAATATCTTTGCTCTTATTGGATGTAATAATAACTCCTCACCTACCCACTACACTCTGTCACAAACTTGCCACATGCTTCATGCTTGGCCTAAAAAAGGTTCATGTGGGAAGATCGTAAGCAATAGTGATACATGGTTGTCATAAGCTCGTGGCGTAAGGTGTTGGACTAAGTTGTGCACAACTTTCGTGCATAAAAGACATAAAGTTTTGACCCTTCTATGCTCTGCTTCGATAGAATGACCTCATTCGATTTGATTAACACTGTTCTTACATTTCTATTGATCAACAATGACTCTTGCATACTAGGACAAGACTTATCTTTAATTTTTTCTTTTTGAATGAAAAGATGTTGATATAAAATATTCTTAATTATTTCTTTGATTAGTATTAGTATTTTAAACTACGACTGTCACGCTATATAATCTCATTATATATATAAGGCAAACTACTTCTTCTTCTTCTTCCTTTTTGGTATGTATACTGCATAGTAAATATTGAACACTTTTAGTAAATTTATGTCTTTATCACTGAGTGATATATTAGTGTTGATTAAAAAATATATTAGATATTCAGTCAAATAACCAAAGTATATATATAAGTTGTTTAGATATTTTGCAATTACTTATTTGTCAATTCAAAGATAAAAAGGTGGTGGATTAATTATAACTTGGTCAACGTGTTTATACTACAAATCACATGCTTGATCAATAATCACCAAATGGATAGGAGATCTTCAATGTATAAACTAATTAATGAATAATTAGATCTTACTAACTCACTTCATAATTGACCATATTATTTGTCTCCCAATAGTTGTTTTAATTAATTATTAGATAATCGATTTCTTTTCATTGATTGATTTAGATGTACTTTTAGTTAAGTCGTTGGCAACATGGATGACAAGTGGCCACCCCAATACTAATTAAGGTATATATATATATATATGGTAGTTAGATTCAACGACTTCAATCCAACTCATTAACTTCAATTTCAATTTTTTATCTTTAGTTAAAAAAAAAATCTGCTAATATATACAAATATAAAGTTTCGATCTCAATCTCTCAATAGTCAATAAATCAAATAGTTAATAAGTTTAGTGATATCTCAATTTTTTAAAATTTCAATCTTGAATCTGTGTTTATCAATAACAAGCCACATCCTTGCTATTAATAGAGGGTATATCTAGATTATTTGACATAGCTAAACCTTTCCTCTATTGTTAATGTGTGATTTGCAATAACAAGCCACATCTACCCTTACTATTAATAGAAAAACATTCATTTCGTAATTGATAAAAAAAGGAAAATAAGACAAATAAATTACGCGAACTAAAAAATAGTTACCCAAAAATGTAGGTGCTGACAGCTTGATATTGAACCTATTTTAGTGTTTTCCTCGGATATCACCTGATTGTTGGGCAAATTCCACTGTCTTGTCATTATACTATGCAAACTAGTTTAATCAATAACTTCCTATATATAAACGAACAAAAAAGTTAACTTCTTTAATATTAATCTTTACAGAATCAGTCGAAAGCCAATTCACTTCGATAAATCCCAAGTTGAAGGGGTTAGATAGAACGTGCAAGACTTCAGCTTTTCATCAAATTCATCGACCCTTTGTAGTGTTTGATTGATTTGATTTGATTAGAGGGGAAGGGGTTGATGAATCTTGGAGTTTTGTGGTTGATTTGTTACTTTTGGTTTTGCAGATAAAGTGTTTGATTGATTGCTTGAATGAAATCTGTATACCATGTTTAGTGTTTGATTGATTTAATTAGAGAGGAAGGGGACTGATCAAACTTGGAATTTTGTGGGAGTTCTGTTTTTTGCCCATAAAGTGTTTGATTGATTGGTTGAATGAAAGTTTGAGGGAAGTTATGGATAAGGAGATGGACGTACGGAATCAGAAAGTGGATGTTCCTGAGACTGTGGTGACTATTAGATTGGATGAAGATGGGGAAACTGAAAAATCAAGAATTGGTGTGGAAGATGGAGATTCGGAAGGGAATGAGGTGAAAGTGAAGGATTTGAAGAAGGGTGATGAGTTTTCGACTGTAATTGATGTGAAGTGTGATGGTGGTGATGGGAAATTGGGAGAGGATTTGGAAGGGGATGGACAAAGGGTGTGTAGGATTTGCCATTTGAGTACATATGAAGCTGAAAAGAATTTGGTGGATTTGATTGAGCTTGGTTGTGGTTGTAAAGGAGAGCTTGGATTTGTGCATTCTCATTGTGCTGAGGCTTGGTTTAAGCTAAAAGGGAACAGGTAATTACTGTTTTTGTTCTTTGTTTTAGATTCGTCTTGTTCTAGTTTACGGTCATTCTTAGTTTGATATTGTGGTTCTTTAACTGTTGATAATATGTATAGTTGCATACTTTGATCTTATTAATGTTTTTCCTGGTGTAGATTGGTCCCTGTAGGTGGGCTATGGTTGAGATACTTTTTACTTTGACTTATATTTCTAGTACAGAAATTTTCTAGCTTAAGGTTCTCTTTTTGCAAATTACAGGCATGCTTGTTTGAATTGGTCACCATTGCGTTCATATTTACAATTTGTGTTATTTGATATTCTCACAATTGTAATAGTAGAGAGATTTGCATGCTTTCTGGTTGTCTTTAAACAGGATGCTGATAAATTTTTGGTTTTATAAGCTTGACACTGAATCTTTCTCAAAGCATTATCTAATTGGTTTGTGAAATTGATATTCCGCCAATTGCTTTATCATGCATTAGTGTGTAATAACAGAATAGAATAGCTTGTCTTTGACAGAGGCGGATATAGGATTTGAATTCAATAGATTCAACCTTTAAGATTCTTAGCACTGAACTCATTGTACTCTGAGATCATGGATTCAAAAGTTGATACTTATTGAAAATTTAGTGGTTTTCATATATATATATATACTGAGTTGGGGAGAACCCGTAAATTCTATGTGACATCCGATGTTGGTCTTTGATTAGGTAGACCGATGGCAATGTACGTAGATTAGGTTCTCTTAAATCTATCTTATTCAATCACCTTTTGTAAAATTTGCGCATTGAACACAACAAAAAATGATATTAGCTATGAACTTCGTAGCAAACAAAATTTTGTGATAATCCATTGCTAGTCCGTTAGTAAATGCCATAAATTTCCATCCTAGTTACTTGACTATGTTATAGTCATTTTATTCTTAAACTAAACAGCTTTGTTTCATTAAAAGAGAAAAACATAGAGTACAAGCAATGTAGTAAGTCATGGAGAAGTTACTATGGATAATTCATCACTGATTTATGCTAGTAGGCATAGCTTGTATGCTCAGCTCAAAAATAAAAACAATAGGAATTACTTTGAATTTATGTTGTGGATTCTCAAATCTACGCAGCACTTGATTTCACATTCTTCAAAATACCTACATTGTCTGTTACTTTCTCTATTATTTGCTATGCCTTGTTCTACCTCTGTGTTGTCTTCTTCAATTGCCGTGCTATGAAACAATCTCTCTATCTCCACAAGGTAGGGGTAAGGTGTGCGTATACACCTACCCTCCCCAGACTTCACTTGTGGGAATACACTAGGTATGTTGTTGTTATTGCTTTTTTATCCCCAAATTCAACTAACATTGAAAGATGACGCTATAGATGGTTCACATTGTTGCGCATAGGCGATAAATTATTAGTATCCCTTGGCAACTTCTGGACATGAAACACCAGCCAATATGTTCTTTATCATTTTAACTTGTTTCCATGTCCTTCTCGGGTTATCTACTGGTAGAAACATGTTGCTTTGCATTCCAAATAGCTTAATGGCATGTCATTTATTACTGTAATAACTAATTCGATATTAGGAAATTATAATGGTGATTGAGTTGCTTTGACAGAACATCGTTTTCCCAGTATACTTCACTGGAACCACCAGCATCTAAACAGAAAAAGAAAAACTAAAAGAAAAGGTCATTCGTTCATAGAATTCAGGAGTTTGTATTGTTTTATTTACTAAAATTTTAAAGTTCCGGACCAGTACATTCCACAATAGTGATTTTGTCATTTCTCTTTTGTGTCATCTTCGTGCAGAGTGTGTGAAATTTGTGGGGAGGTCGCACAAAATGTTACTGGTGTCAGCAATAACAGATTTATTGAAGAGTGGAATGATGCAAGATCTACTGCAAGTGGTGTTGGTTCAACCGAAACGACTAGAGGTTGCTGGCATGGACAGCCATTCTGTAACTTCTTAATGGCGTGCCTGGTAATATCATTCGTGTTGCCATGGTTTTTCCGTGTAAATATGTTTTGATGAGGTAAAGAGGGTATATATTTACTTACTTCCTCATTCAAATAGCGTAGACGTAAATAGCGATGCTGTGTCTGTTCAGTACTTACAGCCAGCGTGACTTTTTATCACATTTGCATTTTTTTACTTAATTTGGACATAGTTCTTGCTGACTTGAGAATATTTCTGATACTAAATGAAGAAGGGCCAATACTGTCAGTTAAATATAGCCTTTGGCTGTATAAAGTTTCAACATATGTTGTGAATTTCTTCTTCTGCATTTTTATGGTTTTTTAATATTGCAGTTGGTAGTTTTATTAATGTTAGATAATCTTCTTACCCTTTGAAATCTTGAAATGTTAGAGTGCTTCTGTTTCTTTGATGGGAACTTTCTTTTATTTGCACTCACAATAAGGAAATCATTTACCATTTCAAGAGATCTTGTGGAAGTTGCTCTGAAGTGCATGATTTCAAATAGGCATAATACATAAACAAACACTCAAACTTGGCAGTCCAACTTTGAGTATGACACCTCAATTCGTCTCCACTGAGTCGGTTGAACACTCCAGTTTACAAAATAATCATCTAGACACTTTCAAAATTTGCATGTCACGTCAGAGTCAGATGTCCATGAGACACTGTAGATGAATTGGAGTGTTTAGTTATCAGTTGAGATCAAGTTAAAATGTATAGATGTGCACTCTCAAAGTCTGAGTACTTACTTGCCAGCTAACGCCAAGTTTAAGTACTAGTTTATGTATTTTGCATTTTTAAATAGTGTCTTTTAAAATATTTACCACTAGTATTTTTATAAGATTTTAATGGATAAGTTGGAATTTTTTTATTTTTTTTATTGTATTTTTCTAAAAGATATGTTGATCCTCTTCATGAAAGGTCAGTATGTGGTGTCTTGTTCCTTGTCCTGCTGGGAAAGTAAACTCATTTAATGTCTCTGAATAACGACTTGAATATTATATTTATGAAGGAACTTAAAGAAGAGGAGAATTACTAGTGACTTTTTATGAAAAATTAGTTTAAAGACTTTATGGATACTTAAATAAAGTTGAGTTGCGTTTTCATTAAAATAAAATGGTTTTAGCAACTCTAATGCAATAAGGTGAAAAATTATATAATCATATATGTTATTTCTATGCTATTTATATTGGAAATTTATGAAAGTGGCAAAAATTGTTTTTGTTTGGCCACTATAATTTGAACTTTGTAGAAACTTGTATAAATCACCTTGAAATTTCGAATAGAAGTTTATATACACAGTACCCTATGTTTTCTTTGTCTAGACTTTTTTCTTCCTTTTCCATTTAACCTATTTAAAATTCACTCGTATGTCGTATCGAAATTTACTGATCCGACTTATTTAGATTTGCGTAGGCTATACTAAGGAAGGGAACACATTGCTTACTGAAAAATCGTTTAAATGTTAATTTTTGGACATCTGAAGTGATAAGATATCAAATATTCCTTTTTTTTATTGGTACAAAATATCAAATAATGTCATCATCTTGGTAAGAAGTTTCCCCAATTTAATATGCCTTACATGTCACACATTTAAATTAGTCAGGTTAATGGATCTCGATACTTTAAATTAATCAAATCAATAAATTTCGATATTCAGTCATTATATAGAAATATTAATAGATAGAATTTAAGACAACAACATGAATAAGGTTACAACTTGTCTTCAATATTATCTATAAGCCGATCAGTCGAATTAATCAAACCAATAAATTTCGAACAATACAGTTATACCAACAAAATAAATAGGAAGAATTTCAGAAAATATGAATAAGGTTACATCTTGTCTTTAGTACTGAGATTATCACCTTGGGACTGTGAAGAAGTAAATGCATTTATTTTTTATCAGAATATTAAAATATGAAAGAATAAGGTTTGGTCCCTTTTTAAAAAAATAAATATATTAACCAACACATGAACAATAATAGCCAAAGCTGGCTGTTATAATGATCCTTCATTATTATTCTGTGTACACATAGAAGCCAAGATTTGTCACCAACCTGGCATAGCCTCATATTAAAGTTACATTTGAATAAAGTATCCATTATTTATTTCTAATCTAATGCATGTATGCCCACATTGAGTGTATAAAAAGCTTAAAAAAGGAAAAAAGTAATTTTTATAGATCAAGTTGAAATTCCAACATATGGTGGAAATGATGATGAAATGTAATCAAAATGTCTGACAAAATCAATAAACAAGTGAATCCAAGAGCCCTTTTTTTAATTTTTACTCCAATGGTTAGATTATGATATGTTCAATCACACTACCATATAAGAAGGGTAGATGAGCTTTTTCTCTTTTTTCTATTTGACAAGGCTTATCGACCGATAGGTCGAGGATGAAAATACTATTGATCCTTCTCAGGAGAGAGAAAAAAAAGTAGATGGGCTTTTTTGTTTAACTTTTTATAACGTCTGTGTCCAAGGCAGCTTGGGCGAACCTCTACTATTTCAAGATAGCTTGCAAGAATCTCGACTTATGGAGAAGTAATTATTTTTGTTTGGACATTTTTGCTCCTATATATAGGAATATGCCTATCTAGGAGCATTACGCTCTGCAGCTCAAATGGTCTCTTATGACTTGCCTTATCGGTCTTTATTCTTATTGTACACCTTGTGAGTGAAGTTGGATCCGCGAAGGCAATCTTGCTTGGATGTCCACATCTTGTTTCAAGGCTCATATTAGTTGTGGATCATAAGGCGGTCTACTTTTATTCCACTGGCCAACCTGCTACTTCATACTAGTATAGGTATCAAGTAACTTTGTCTAACAAGCACTCATTTAGGATGTTGATGGAAGACATAAGAAGTAGAGTATCACTTGAAGTACCAAACCTCACATGGCAAAATTCAATATAAGAGCTGGAAGAACATGGTTAAGGTAGGTACCTATCTTATTATAAGTCTTGATGAGCTTAAAACAGGTAAAACAACTAATAACTCTTAAAGAAATTTGAACTCCAGAGGAGAAATGGTGGTGTGTGGGGCATACCGCATACCTAGTGTATATGATAGCAGTTTGGGAGGTAGAGAGGTTATTTCTGATAGACCCACGACTCAAGGAAAAGCATATCAAAGCAGTTCGGGAAAAGAAATAATGAGAAGCCACGACAAAATACTAAAGATAGCATGATAAAGCATTCAAAAAAGAAAAAAGAATAATCTACAACAAAAATAATACAATAATCGAAGTACTAGAAATAATGGAATTTGCTCTATAGCTTGTTAATCACATATCCAACAAGATCTCAAGGATTCACAACAATAAATACACTAGTCGGCCAAAACAATAGACGTTATAACTAAAACGACATCAAAAAAAAATTAACTCGTGCCTCTGTCCCAAGTAAGTTAGAATCGGCTATATGAACTCTCCAATCTATTATCACAATAAGCATTTCAAAATGAAAGGAAAACCCATTGTGGAAGCACCCCCTAGTTATCCTTTGTGGTGATCAGGTAGGGGACTAAGGAGCTTTGTTACTCGGACCCTCCAAAAGTGTTGCCCCACCCGTGTAAGATCCTCCAAAAAAGCATAGCTTTGGAGGATCCAACACATAACCCCAACATATTTATGAAGAATCTGAGCAACACAGCTAAGGAGGGGACTAATTGAGCTTCTTCTGTCAAATGAAATGAAGTGCCAGATAATGGACTCTTTTGTCTACAATGGAATATTGTTTTCACAGCATTATGTTAGATCTCATAAAAACACTGGCATCACAGGGCATACGAGGAATACTGGAAAGTCCGGTAGAGCACAAAGAAAGCAAAAGAACTTACTACGAAAAATCATGCAAGTAACAGCGAAAACACTGATCTTTGCAGTTAAAACTGAGACGATAGACTATTGAGCTAATTCGGTAGATACTTCATCTTGCCATTATGTTGCTTGGACTCTATTACGGATATGTGTTCTGTACAGTTTCTTTGGATGCACCCGGTATGGGTATGTCAACCTTTTCCAGCAAAGTACCCTAACCCTTACCACATTCCCATTGGACACAGGGTACATCAAGACAAATGAAGGATCCACACGACATAGATTATCTCATCCATAGACATGACTCGTAACCAACACATGAAAAATAAAGGAATCGTTCATATTGTCAATCAACAAATGAATGAAGCAAATGCTGAATCCAAACAACAAAATGTCGTAAGCAATTGAGATATCACCATATATCAGGAAATCAAAACCATGTACCTCAATCCGTCAATCGAAAATACATACATAAAAGAAAATTTCATTAATAGGCAATCTCTCCCATCATACACTTAAAGATCAATTTAGCCCCTACTTCCTCCAGCAATTTAACTTGTTCAAAAGAATCACACCAAATAAAGTAGCCACCTCTTCTACTTCTAACAAGATACAAATGTATAATTAACTAAACAAATTTCATAATCCAATTAAGAAATTTCCTAAACTAAACGAACCAAGATTTCATTTTTATGCTCATTTACAACATTTAGCCAACAGAATCAAGAAAATAATTATGAATACAATCGAGGAAAGTGCAATGGAAATACCAAGAACAACCTTACTTGGTCCATGACTATGTTCCTGGTGCTGACTCTCATCATCAGCATAATCATCAGAATCATCGGTATCATCCGAACTTATATCCTTCGATGCTGGAGGTGACATAGGCAACCCATGTTTATCACAAGGAGCAATCCCAAGCTTCACTTTAGAAGACAATTTCGAATGATTATAACAAAGATTCGAATTTCCTCCCACCTTCAACACAGCCAATTTCTTTATAAAAGAAGCATTAAAAGGCAAAACCCCGTGAAAGTTATTCCTCTCAAGATTCAAATACTTCAATCCCTTCATATCAGAAATGAACTTAGGAATAGTCCCATTGAGCTGATTAGACCCCAAATCAAGATGAACTAATCCCGGAATAGCAGCAAACGAATCCGGAACAGATCCAGACAACGAATTCGAAGCCAAGGACACATTTTGCAAAGAAGACAAATCACCAAACGAAGCAGGGATCGTTCCATTAAGTGAATTCGAAGACAAATTGAGGTAAACAAGATTCTCCAGCTCAGTTAACGAACTGGGTATCCTCCCTTTCAGTTTATTCCCAGACAAATCAACATAACTAAGATTTGAATGCCAGTGTTTAGGCAAATAACCAGTAAGATTAGCATTCGAAATCGTAACACTGTGCAAATTCTTTATACTATTCATGATTATAGATGGACCACTAGCAACAATCGAAACATGAGAAACAGTTAAATCAGTAACATTCACCAATTTGCTAAGCCAAACCCCAGTTAATTTCTTCAAACTACTAACACAAGTAAAAGATTTCAGATTCAAAGCAAGCTGAGAAGGTAACCTAATAGGTGAAATGGGGCAATTGTAAAACCCCAAATCCTTCACTGTAGACAATGATTTCAAAGCAGTAAGTGATAATGCAACATCATCTGAGCAGTTAATGAAGTTTAATGACACAATGTGACTAAATGGGGTTGAAGAATCACAAATAGTGGTAGTATTGTGAGATGGGGAACATGGGGTCTTGCCTGTTGGGATGTTGAGTGATTGTAGAGCTTTGAGCTGATTTGGGTCAAGAATAGATGAAGATGGATGAGTTCGTGGAGTTGAAATAGGAGAGGGTTTTGGAGATGGAGAAGAAAGGGGTGATGGGGAAGAGGAAGAAAGTGAGTTTGAAGTGGAAATGGTGAGGAAAAGAGTGAGAAATATGAGGAGAAAAAATGGATCTGGAGAAGAAGAAGCCATTGTTGTTGTTTTTGGTTGAAGAAAAATGGAAAATGGTTTGCAATTACAGAGCAGAGGTGTATTGAAGTTTGTTGTGTACAGAAGATAGTGAAAAAGAGACACCAAAGGGTCACTGTCTTGGACTCTTGGTGGTGTGTATATATGTCCTTGGAGTTTGATGTAACTACAGAAAAACCAAATTTTACATGCATGTAACAGCTCAACTCAAAAGGATAGCTCGATGCACCTAACATTTCGCTTTCATACACGATCCAAAGAAGAAGGATAGTATTTTAAGAGGTGTGATATAGATAGTCTATTACTATAATTCAAGTATTAATGTTTATCTCGCTTTCACATCCATTCAAAGAAGAAGGTAGTATTTTAAGAGATGTGATATAATCAGTCTATTATAATAGCATTAATATTTTATCTGGCATTCACACACGAGTAGTTATGTTCAAACAAGAAGAGTAGTACTTCAAGAGTAGTTATGTGAACCCCTATTACTCTCTATGTCCAACAATACTTGTCCATTATTGACTTTGCATACTTCTTAAGAAAATTATAAATAAAAGGATAGTATTCTTATATCACCCTTTGAATATAATATATATAATAGCTTGAAAAATATAATAGTGAATGACTATAATTAATGATAAGAATTAATTAGAAACTAAATGTAATTATCTATTAATTTTATAAAATAGACAAATATTATTGAACGAATAGAGGATAAGGCAAACATTAATGATTGCTTTAGAAAAAGAATTGTCATTGATACAATACTGGTTAAGCTTAGGTTAGTAAATTTAGCTTAAATTATGTATATTATGATATGAAATACATTAGATAAGTATGTACTCTCTCTGCTCTTATTTATATGTCGTCCTTACTAAAAATAGATTGTCATTAATATTTGTTATTTTATAAAATCAATGCATAAATGACATTATTCTTTCTATTTTACCCTTGTGTGGGTTACTGGTCTTGAAAATATACATTTGACCAACATAAAAAAATTAAGTAAATAGTTTATGTCCATTGGTCAAATTAATCGATCAAAATAAATTAATTTATCTTCATTGATTGGAAACATGACTTCATGAAAACATTAAATAAGTGTATAAGTAGTAAACTTACTTAATTCCTTAATGCATGTAAAATTTAAAATGATAACATATAAATAGTAACGGAGAAACTTACTTAATTCCTTAATACATGTAAAATCTAAAATGATAACATATAAATAAGAATCAAAAAACTTACTTAATTTCTTAATACGTGTAAAATCTAAAATGATAACATATAAATATGAACAAAGGGAATATTAAATATTAAATTTCAAACTCATTAACTTAAATGTCATTGAATATTCATGGTATTTCGAATGCATAAAATTTATATTCTAAATGTATTTTTGTACGTTGCGGGCACACGATCTTCTTTTATTGGAACTAGGAGGGAATGTGGGAAAATTGGACATGATATGGCTATAATTTTCTTCTTTGGGTGAAAAAATATTTCTTGAATAAAACATTAGGTTAAAATATCTTTCTTAAAATATAACATTTCTACAAAATGATATCATCAAAGTTTACTTTCTAAAAGAAATATTTAAATTTCCATAATATTTAGATTGCTTTTATTTGGTATATTTACTTTCGAGGTTGAATGGGAAAAAACAACTGAAATAAATTATGTCTAATCCATTCACCTATAATCATGCCTCTTTTGATTCTGATGAAAAAAAACTAATTGCTTTGTCTCAAATTATTGTTATTTATTACTTGCCTCTTAAAAAGTACTACTATTAATAAAAACAAGTTTATTTTAATCTTATTTACTTCTTCTTAATTTATAATCTCTTTGTTAAATATTTATTTATTTACATGGTATTATTTCATAATGAAGGTATTTATAGTTTTCAACAACAATTACTATTAAAATAATAAAAAAATAATCTTAAAATTTTAAAATAATAAATAATTTTAAGATAATTATTTACAAAAATTCTAATAAATAATTTGAGACGATGGAAAAATAAGTTTATTAAAAGTTAAAACCCAAGAAAGGTCAAAAGACAATTACAATTTCCAACGTTTATTAAAATTGTAAAAAAATTTAAAGTAGAAGTGAAGGCGCACTAAAATTGAAATTTACATATAAATAAGTTGTTTTTATCCGTTATGAAAGGGCTAGAAAATTACAAATATTTTCAACCGGATACAGGTGTATGCCAGCCTTTTATAATATGCTTTTTCTCCTACTATTTCTAGTCCTTTTCATGCTACTATCATTTTCTAGGAAATAGTACTCAATTCTTTCTGATTCTATCTCCTTCTTTATTTTATTATTTCTCTTTTTTTTTTTCTTTTTTTGGGGGGTGGGGGGGGTGGGGTGGGGGATAATATAATATAATTAGTAATAAGACTTCGTAAGTAAATAGGGTGATTTTTCTTGTAATAATAATAACATAGTTTGAATATAGGAGTTGACATTAATTTAACAAAAGGAGATGATACCAAAAAAAATGATTAAGTATGGTGACATTTTAATTGATTAACGATAAAAAAGATTTACATCATCAGACCATTCAAATCGTAGTTACAAAGTTTTTTTTTTAAAGCAATCCTAATAATTTGAAATATTGTAAAATATCTATTTACAGTATAAATACATATAACTTAAATGTTTTATCAAAATAATCAATAGTTAAATTATAAATAAGAGTATTACTGTAAAATGAAGTGAATTTAATTGCATGAAAGAAGAGCTTGGCTATGGAGTTTGAAAAATAAGAAAATAGCAAGATCAATTAAAGTTCAAATTCTAAATTTGTTTTATGCATGTTCAACTAATTAACTAGTTTGGTCGAGCACATTGGAAATGGTTGAGGCTAAGTGTTGAGTAGAAGAATGACAGTGGAATACCGAAGCTAACAAATCAAACATCAGATGATCATAATATATTTATTGTACATATAAGGAAATACACATTTTACATGATAGCATAATGTTTCACTTGACGTACATGGAGTATATATGCAATTGCAAGTAGTGTGTGCAACAAGGGGCGTATCTAGTATAAGTTATGAATTCAATCGAATCTAATAGTTTTAGCTCATACTTATGTAAGTTATGAATTTAATCAAATCTAATAGTTTTAGCTCATACCTTAAATATTTGTTAAAAGAGTCACAAAACAAATAAAATTAATAGATTTCGAAGTCAGTAATCAAGGTGTTATATTAATATTTCAAATTTGAATTTATAAAGTTTAAATTCTCAATCAATCTCTATGTGTTGCTAACTTGTTTGTTTGAGTACTGAACGAGAAGAATAACATATGACAATTCAATAGTTTTAACTCAAAACTTGAATATGTATTAATCTTTTTATTAAATAAACATAAATAATAGATTTTGAATTACCTGATAAATTATCATTATATGAGCTATGATAGAATTTTAAATTCGAACCTATAAAGTTCAAATTTTGAATTTGTCTCTGTTGAGGTTGAATGACTGAGGACAAGAATGACAGGGCAATTCTCCTTTGGCAAAGATAATATAATGCCATGCAAAACATATATATATATATATATATATATAGGGTTTGCATGTATTCATTTGCCAAAGGAGAATTGCACTGTTATTTCTTACTCCCCATTTTACTTCTCCTAAGAACTTTCATATTTTATGCTTGATTTTCCACATAAAATGAGCACATACTATATATAGTGGAGGGGGTGAGGGATATTATTGGCATATGCTTAATTTGTTCTTGGAAGACAAAGGAAATATTGACCTTTTATAATTTTCTCTTTTTGTGATTTAGATGCTTTTCAAGACTTAAATAAATTCCAATTCACAAGTTTAGTTCCATTTTAAAATTTAAATTATGTGACTTACTTTTAAAAAAAAAAGACAATGGCATCATTTTAGATTTTAGTATATTTCATCTTTTTAATTTTTGAGACATCATTTGACTAGCTAGCTAGGCATAACGTTTAAGAAGAGGAAAAAAATTGAAATTTGTATATACGTTACAAAATTCACTAAAATATGTATAAAAATTGAGAATTCAATTTTTTTTTTCATATATTGGAAAAGACAAAAAAATTATGGTCTTTCAAAAGCAACACCACTAATCAAGAAACTTCATATCCTCGATCACATTTCCCTATATTATTACATATTTTTCATGCTTGTATCTTTCGTTTGCCAAGAAGCTATTGACACATTAATTCGCCTTTGCAAATGTGTTTGATAGAGGCCTTATTGATATTTAGCAAATATATGTGGTCCTCAATAATAACCCTAAAAGCATGGTGTTGCATTTTCTCATTCTTAATTAGCTTGACAACTAGTTAGACAATCAATTTTAGCCTCTACTTCTTCTTAATCCATTAGTTTAATTTAGCTATAGTTAGCCCTTTTTTTATGCTTCATAATTTTGTAGTGAGATTTGTCGTAGATTTCATTTTACCCGAATATCTCAACAACCATTTTATGAGATCATCTCCAAAAAATCATCTAAAATCAACATCTTTAATATGCGTCTTGAACTTCACTATCCTATAATTTAAAATCTATTAAATTCAAATCTTGAAATCCGTTTATCTCAAAAAAAAAATATTAAGGCTAAAGACCAAGAATATGTACTTCAATTCGAGGAATGACAAGAACAAAAGCAATGAGTTGGTGGAGGAGAATGTGCCATTGAATCTCAAGAATGTGCTATTCTTTTTTGTTTTCTGTTTTTTTTTTTTTTTGGTCTTGAATTTTAATTCTCCTACAAGTTTTTATTTTGTGAAATTTTTAATAAATCAAGAGAATTCTATAATTTCTTTCGATATCGCTCTTATTATTGAATAACTATGTAAAATATTATAAGTCAAATTTAAATTTTCAAAGCATAATTAATAAGATTGATTTAGTAAAATAAGTCTTAATAAATATTTTCTTATGGAGAATGTTAAACCAACATAGATCAAGTAAAATGAAACGGTGGAAATACTCGTCAGAAAAGAATGGTTCAACATGAGAATAATC